CCAAAAACTGCTCTCATCCATGGTTGACCGTAGCTTCGATCTCGCTTAGGTCTTGTTAACATCCGCAGAGGGACTCGAACCATAAAAGTGCAGTGTGTAATCTCGACACATTAGCCCTTACGCCGTATTGCCATGAGTGACCTTTGGCCACAGGACAGATGTGAGTTTCAAGAAAGGCCCGACATTTTTCAATATCACATTTTTTGGTGGGATTGCCGAGGGAGAAGTTATATTTGCTATAACAATCGACTACATTGCTTCATCTATAGGTAGGATGTCGAGACTATCAATAAATCAATTATATGAGATTTGGAAAAATTCAACTACTAGTCCTTCATCATCTGGGTGAAAGTACCCAATATAATACAACATATTGACTAGAAAGCTTGAAGTTAGAGAGTACGCGAACCTGATTTCGTCGCATCACAAATCGAATTTGTCCGGTAGTTTTGTGAAGCAAAAGTTTAGCTTCTCCAGTGCCGCGCATTTTCCATTGTGGGCAGGTGGCTAACGTGTCTGTAGCCTTCGACTTGTTCAAGCGGTAGAGATGAGCTGATTGAGAAAATAAGACCTGCTCATCTTCTTCACCTGTCCGTGCTTCTACCAGATCAGGAATACGATCAAGCACAGGGCGGAACTCAATGTTCGGTTCGAACTCCTCAATACTGTCATCATTCTGCTCACAAGGGCCGTTAGTAGGGGTTTTAGAGGGTGTCTGACAGGTGTTAACTACTAATGATGGAGTTGGTGTCTCCAGCTGCGAACAATCAGGAGTTGAACTGCTACTGGAGACTCGCAAGGTAGAATGGAGACCGGGGCTTGAAGGAGTGACGAAGGAAGTAGACGTGTATGGAGTAGTAGGAGTCGTTGGCTTGGCACCGAGAAGGCCACCGAAGAGGCCAGTAGTAGTTTGGGACTTTGGTGACTAAGGAAACAATTGAACAGAAAAAGGGTATTTATATGAAAAAATAGTGATGGAGAAAAAGGTAAGTATAGTTTTAGGTAGATTAAAGCAAAAATTCGATGGAATTATAGTCTTAGTAAATGGATAACAGATTGGATTAGTGGTTGTGTAAGCCACTGATTAGGAAGTAAAGCAAACCCAATTATATGCTTGTAAGGTACAAAGAATTAGTTCGAAAATTT